CACACTCCTGCTGCCCAAAAGCAGAAGGGTTAGAAGCTAGCTGGGGTGCTTCATGCCACTGCATTCTTAGTCCTTTAGTATAGAAGACCCAAGGAAAACACTGAATCATCTGTTTTGGCTTGTGACTCAAGTGCTGTCCCATCTCGCCTAGCTTGTCTGGCGTGAGATCTGTAAGGAAAGGTCCAGTCCCAGCTTGACCCAAAAGAGGTTAAGGGAGTACTTAATGCACAACGGGGAGTTGTCTGGGCAGACGACTATACCCTTGCAGAGGAGGAAGACTTCTCTGCTCCAGTCTGGAGAATTTCTCAAGTCTGACTCAAATTTGTGAACAAGAAATAGCGGAAAAAAAATGGAAACAGTGGTTTCCTTTGTCCATCAAGCTGCCATACTTGTGAGGGGAGAGATCTGTCCAGCTTGTGGCAGCAGCAAGCTGAGAGGGAAGCCCTGCTTGGCCCTTTGCAGCACCTGGATGGACTACAGCCCATCTCTTGGAAAGGTTGTTAATTGGGAAAGGTTTTGGGAACCGGCTCAAGAAGGGCAGCAAAGACAAGGTTTTCTCTGATGCCTTATATGACTTCTTAATAGCAAACATCCTTCAGGACTTCCCTGATGCTGCTCTTCCCTGGGAGCCCGAGTGCGCTGCGGAGCCGGGCGCAGGCTGCCCCTCCGCAGGCAGGGATGGAGGGATGGAGGGAGGGATGAGCGCGGGAGGGATGAGCGTGTCCCTCTCTGGCATCTGCCGGGGAAGGCTGGGGAAGGGGAGATGCTTAGCTGGGCTTGCTCTGTCCATGGGGAATCCTGGATAGCCCGCCGATACCGGGAAAGTGTTCAGTGACCAGCGCAGAGGTGCTGAAGGTACCAGTAATGGAAAAGCTTTTTCAAGGCTCGGCTTGAGGCTGGCACCAAGTGCGACCCCCTAGATGTGTTAGAGACGGTTTCTCCTTCCCTGCATAATAAACTGCTTCTCGAGCGAGGCTGTGGCTGCGGGCTGCTCTGCGCAGGATAGCCCGCCGATACCGGGAAAGTGTTCAGTGACCAGCGCAGAGGTGCTGAAGGTACCAGTAATGGAAAAGCTTTTTCAAGGCTCGGCTTGAGGCTGGCACCAAGTGCGACCCCCTAGATGTGTTAGAGACGGTTTCTCCTTCCCTGCATAATAAACTGCTTCTCGAGCGAGGCTGTGGCTGCGGGCTGCTCTGCGCAGGGGGCTGCAGGCGGGGCCGGGGGTCCTCGCTGTCCTGCTCGCGCGCGGCGCCCCGGGATGGGCCCGTTCCCCGGGCCGGGACCCGTGGGCCCGGAGCA